TGATCTGAGAACGCTGTCGACCTTCCACACGAAAAGTTTGCGAAAAATCCTTCGTATTCTCTGGCCTGAGACTATTTCCAACAAGGATCTGCTTATACAGTGCGAACAAAAGTGCATCGGTGCCATCTCCATGCAGAGACGATGGCGATGGATACGTCATGCCATCAGGAGGGAGAGAGACTCGGTTTCTAAGACGGCACTACACTGAACAGTGCAAGCCGGGCAGACCAGCGCAAGCGGGGCAGAGATGAGGAGCTTGGGCCACAGCTGGGGCTCCATCCAAACGCTGGCCGGGGACAGAGAGCTGTGGAGGTCCTGTGTGTTGCTGCCCTGTGTGCCAGTGGGCATGACGGGCAGTGAGTGAGTGAGTGAGTGAGTGAGTGANGTGAGTGAGTGAGTGAGTGAGTGAGTGAGTGATAAGCTAACAAGAGACAAGTTAAGTTTTTTTTCGATACAAAAAAAAAGTTAAACTTAAGCCACAAGATCGTCATGTGGAATAAACTCGAAACGATACTATCACATAACACCAAGCAATACAGTTTTAGCAGAGTGTAAGATGGCTGACAGCAGTTTCCTGCATTTTTCAGCACATCTACTCTGTAGGTCAATACTACTACGGCTTATTATTTTTCAGCCGATGCAAGAACAATGATATCAAACAATCGTCCAATCATTGTTGAACCAGCTGCTGTCATTTATAGCATCAACTAAAAAAAGAAAATTGTGGTACTGATCTGTCAAAAAATGCTGCCAAACCCGTAGGTTGTGAGCCACCTTAAACGTTTTGAAAATTCTTCTTTGAAATCGCAGCTTTTTGACAAAGTTTTCATTGTCCCCAAGGCTTATGGAAGATGTTACAACGCTCTATCTCATTTTTTTCATTATTTTAATTATTTTAATAACGTGGAATACATAAATTAAAATGTATGTATTCCGCGTTTAATTTGACCAAGTAAGCTGGGTACTTTTGGTCGGTTCTCGTTAGCGTCAATAACGCATTCTGTGTGATTCCAAACACTTGCGCGATAACTTTTCACACGTTTGTTTTCTGTACATGTCCTTTTAAGTGATAATCATTTCTGATAAAATTAGCTGTGTTTTACTTCTTTCGTGGTGTCCCTAATAATTTATTCATATGTAATTTTCAAAGTTGCGGTTCTTAGAACTTTCGCAATAATGTTTTTTACACAGGCAGACTAGATAATGAAGCTATTTGTTGTACGGCAAACTAGCTCCCCGCAGGAATGTGCATGAACCAGCCTGATCGGTCCGTGTTAGAGATAACTGGTTTCGTAATATAGTGCAGAATTCAAGAAAGCTTTTAGCAGTTCAAATTTAGTATCTTTAATATATTATGTATTAGTTACGTGTAAATACCCATTTAACTCGCTCGAGTCAGCAGGTACGTGCAGTCCTTATTTTTTTCAGGTCGATTGAGAGCTCGACGGACTATATTAGTAAGAAAAGAGTGGCCTTTTGTAGTCTGTGTTTTAGATTGCGTTTGGACGATTATACAGATTAAAAGAAGAAGTGTTTAATTTACTCACCGGCCGTTTAGTTAAGCTAATGAGCTTTCAAATCAACCTGGCACGACTCAATTATATATAGGCTAAATAAATGATTGTATAAATTTCAAAGTGAGTGATAGTCAAATTGTGCTGTTTAAATACCTTAATGCTGTAATGGTGGTAATCCTGTGAGCTGACCAGCTGCCTTGGGTTTGTCGAGTACTTGTCTTCGTTTAACAACTCGCATCGGTATTTTCCGTCTGAGCCAGGAGACGAAGCCACATTAAGCGAAGAACATGGCGGAGTGTTAACACAGCTCAGAGCACATTCTCTGTAATTACTCACAACACTCGATGAACCAACTGATACTTGAAGACGATGAAACTTGTCCGCTGCAAAATTGCCGTAGGATACTCGATTTCCCTGCACATGAACACCTCTCTTTAAACCAGGGATGCCATCAGGCTGGTGGTCGTTCTGGTTGGCCCTTGCAGCAGACAGCAGAGAGAGAGCGACACACAAACCATATTGCAGCATCTTTGTTAACCTCTCTTTTATGTTCGTGATGTCGAAAGTGTGTTTATGTACGTGACGATTACATGAACAAATGAAATGTGATGTTCTTATCAAAAATTAGAAGTTTTCCTTTTAAGGCACACCACCCGTTGACAGCC